GTGTTATTTTGTTCTTGATAGTTTTTGTTTATTTAGTTGTATGCCAGAGTATGAGTCTATTTTGTAGTAGATGGTATTATCCTGTTGTGTAGTATTGTGATGATTGTGTTAGAGGTAGTTTGGGGGAGAGAGGAGTGTTGTCTTAGAGAGTTTGGGCGAGAGAGAGAGAGAGAAGAGAGCAAGAGAGAGAGAGAGAGAGGGAGAGAGAGAGAGAGAGAGAGAGAGAGAGAGAGAGAGAGAGAGAGACGAGAGGGAGGGGGGGGTAATGGAGCACCGAGGAAGACGCACAAATAGATCACACGCGTCTCTTGAGCCAGCATCCGCATCATCTCCTAATCCTCCTCTCGCCGCTCTCTCTTATCTTTATCCCGTGATTCTTCTTCTTTCCATTTGGTCCCTCATCCCTGCCTTCCATCTCGTCGGAGTGGCGTTTCAATTTCATTTTCCAGCTTCCCCTTCCCCCGCGCCAGCTTTTCTATCTCAATCTTCAATCTCCATTTCATCCTTACAGCTTCCGTCGCCTCATTAGGGAGTCATCTTGGGGCACCTCAGTTTTCCTTCATCCCGCCTTAAGAGTTTTCTCATTGTGGTCCTCTCCCTCGTCTTCGGTCTTCGGGTAATCTGGCTTGCGAGCTGCCTCCCCTTCCTTCCCTCTGTGCCCTTTCTCTCTCTTCATCTCCATTTGCTAAAGCGTTTCACCCTCGCTCGCTTTTTCCGTCTCTTTCTTGTATCTAGGAGTTCCCCCGCGTCCTCTTTATGCTCATCGTCACCGTCACGACTCTCATCATTACCTTCTACTCCCTTCCTTCCTTACCGTTATTTCCCCCTTCTACTTCGTTTACCTTCTTCTTTCTTCTTTTTTCCTCTCCTCTCCTCTCTTAACCGTGGTCTCATTCTTACCCACCAGCCCTCCGCAGCGCCTCCTCCTCCCCCGTCTCCCCTCACTCCCTCCCACTCCTCCGGGTCTTCATTCACTCAGCCCGCCACTCAGAGTATCCCAACCTTTTACTTCTCCAACCTCCACCCCCCCCCCTACCCGCCCCCATCGACCCGCTCGCCGACCTGCTTCCTAACGAGACTCTGACATATGGCTCCCTCTTGCTTCTTTACTCGTGCCTCAAAGTGGGTGCGGCGTCGCATAAAAGCCACTTCAATCGTCGTCTTCCAGAGCCCCAAAATGACTCTCAAATATAGCATCTGGATTCCTTCCCTCCCTCCCTCTCTCCCCTCGCCGCCGCTCCCCACCACCGCCCGGGGCACCTCCAGCGAGCCGAAGAGAGGAGATTCACCCTAAACTTCGTTCGTTCTTTGTTATTGCGAAAATCCTGCGTTTCCAGGAGGCAGAAGAAAAGCCTTCCAGGATCTACCGCGACGCCGAAGGTATAGATGAGGGCTGTCTGGGAGCTAAAGCGATCTCGAGGACGTGAGAGAGGGGAGAAAGGGAAGGAGGCAAAGTGAAGGAAATAACGTTCTATCTCCCTCCGCTATGACCACGTTCTTTATGCTCATACACACACAATTTTCCGCTGAGAGAGAGAGAGAGAGAGAGAGAGAGAGACGAGAGAGAGAGAGAGAGAGAGAGAGAGAGAGAGAGAGAGAGAGAGAGAGAGAGAGAGAGAGAGAGAGAAGCTCTTATTTACCTTTCTAGCCCCCTCCGCCATGAACAAGAAAGGAGCAGAGATCCCAACAATCTGGAACGAGACGAGTCGTAGAGCATAATTTTCCAGGCTTCGACAACATCGCTTACTTGTCTCCAGGGCTTTTTGAAATGTAATACTCGGCTCCAGATCATTCCAGGCCGTAACCCTCAGAGGGCGGGACCTGCCGCGTGTCGCCTTTATATGCTTCTGCCGTGCGGGCGGAAATCCCTTGCAGCCGGGGGTAAGTGGCGAGGTATATATTTCACAGGATAATGTCAGGATTTAGTGGAATATGCCCTGTGAAGAAACACATAGCATATCATAGAGATGTTAATGCAGTATGAATAATGCAGTTACTGATTTAGAGGAAGAAAAAGGCTCATAATTCCAGGTTCCGGAGAAGATATGTTGAATTTTACAACAATGATAATCCTGTCGCCACGGTCGCATGGAATAAACACACATTACACACGTTCACACGCACTCGGACAAAAGGTTTTAACCCAATGGTGTTTCCGCAAATGTCTGCGTGTCTGCGTGCGGGTGTGTCCCTCCAGCCGAGGGGGGGGGGTCGGAGGACGGGAAGAAAGGAGGAAGGAAGCAAGGGCAAGGAGGAAGACTTTAGTCCTTAAGAGCATTAAAAAGTTTATCCCGCAGTAGAAAAATGAAGTTACGCCGAGGTGGAAAGCTTAGACAACCAAGGGCGAAGAAGATGGAAGAGCAAGAGGCAAGAGGTCGAGGTTTACGCTCTTCTCTCCTCTCGCCTCGCGCTCTCCTCGGCTTCTCTCTCTCCCTCGCTCACGGCTTGGTAATCTGCGAAGCTCCAGAATCACTGGAATAGCCCGGCGAATCCTGGAACTGAAACGCTGGAATCTATCAGTTTATGAAGGCGTGGGGAGGGAGGGGAAGGGGAGGAGGAGAGAGGGCAGTCCGTGCAGAAGGTGGGATGGAGGAGGAGGACACGGAGGAGGAGGAGGAGAGAGGAGGAAGAGGATGAGGGAGGGAGGGGAGGGAGAGAGATGAGCGGTGGCTGTCGCAGAGGAGAAATGTCACTTGAAGGTATCTGATGGGCGCCAAGTACTTGATGGCCGGGGGCCGCCGGGAAGGGGGCGCCGGGAGGAGGATACGGGGATTTAGGAAGCGGTTAAGGGAGATGCTCTCCCATCGGGCGGGCCTTCGGGCCGCGCTGCGTCCGCTCTCGGCAACGGGGGGGGGGGGGATTTAGTGCCTAATTAACATGATTCATCCTGAGGGGCGGGGGGGGGGGGGGAAGAAGCAAGGGTTAAGAGAGAAGGAAGTCGAACAAGGCGTGAAGATGAAAGCAAACCAAAATCCAAGTCGTCGAGAGACATTTGACCGCTCTTTAACCAGCCTCCCGATACTCGCTCTTTAACTTCCTCTTGTCTCCTTCTGCCCTCTTCCCTCATTTCTTTCCTTTCCTCGCAGCATCGCCCCCGCCCTCGCGCTCCCCCAGCGCCCACCAAGCCAGACCACTTAAGCCCCGCGGTCGGCAAGATCCTCCTCGCCCCTGGTCACGGGAGGGGCTGCTCGGCGTTCATCGATCGCTCCGCCGGGTGGCTTGGCTTACTATGTGAGTGAATGCGAGTGGCCGTTAGTGGTAATAGGCTTGGCTTTATCCAAGAAATGCCTCTGCACATGCTCGTCCTACCTTTCGTTTTTCCCCTTTTCGTTTTCTTTGTTTTCTTCATCTACTTTCTTTTCCTTAGAGTTTCCCTTCCTCCCCTCCTCTCTCCTTCCCTTCCTCCCCTCCTATCTCCTCCCCTCCCGCACGCCGCCGTCCTCCCCTCACGAAGAGGATCCCCATTACCATCCTCGCGGGATCCGGAATCGATTCCTGACGACGACTATTGATTGACAGGTCTTGAATCACTTATTGCCGGGACGAGCCAGCAATCTGTTTTGTCGTCGCGGGGAGAGGTAACGGAGGGAGAAGGGGGAGGGAGCGTACGAAATAGAGAGGAAGAGGGAGAAGGAGAAGAGGGAGAGCGAGAGGGCAAGGGTGAGAGAGAGGGAGAGAGAAGGAGCGGAAAAGAGAAGTCCTAAGGAAACCGAGGGAGAGGGAGAGGGAAAGAGAAGAGAGAGAAAGAGGGAAAGAACGAAAGAGAAGAGAGAGGAAGAGGGAAAGGACGAGAGAGAAGGAGCGGATAAGAGAAGTCCTAACGAAACTCAGAGGGAGAGAGAGAGAGAGAAAAGCAGACAAATAGAAATCAATTAACCGAGTCTCACCTACGAAGAAAAGAGCCGAAGCAGAATATAAAAGGCTCCCGCGCCGGCAGATCCACGTCAGCAGAACCGGCGGTGAGCTCCACGGCTGACGAGGCGGAGGGAGCTCTGTCGCCGCCCGTGTCAAGGCGACCTCTTCCACCGACAGCTTCTGCAGTTCCTATAAAGCCTGACATATTTCCGCTCTCGCTGGGGAGGCCTTGCCGCCCCTCGCCGTCCGGAGGCGGCGCCCACGCGCTTGCGAGGCTCAGATTGCGATGGCATTTTGGAGAGAATCAGCGGATGGGGGGGGGGGGGGGTTTGCCTTTGAACATGTTGGAATAGATCTCTCTATCTGTCTGTCTGTCCTCTCTCTCTGTCTCTCTCTCTCTCTCTCTCTCTCTCTCTCTCTCTCTCTCTCTCTCTCTCTATATATATATATATAATATATATATATATATATATATATATATATATATGTTATATATATATATATATATATATATATATATATAATATATAACACACACACACACACACACACACACACACACACACACACACACACACACACACACACACACACACAACATATATATATATATATATATATATATATATATATATATTATATATTATATATATATATGTATATATATATATATGTATATATGTATATATTATATATATATATATATATATAATATATATATATATATATAATACTGTAAATAAACACGCACTCAAACTCAAAACTCACACAACACACACACACACACACACACACACACACACACACACACACACACAC